ATACTGTGATAACCTGAAACATATCCTGTGGTTTTCGTTCTGATAGCACTTCATGATCTTCTGGCCAATCATTGCAAAACACCCGAAGGTGAGCCTTTTCAAGATAGAAGGCTCAAGATTCTTTCATATATGACTGCCAACTTTCAATAAAAAGAAATAGGATGAAAAATTTGATCTATTTCATTTCAAAGTTATTGAAGAAAGTAATCATTAGGTTACGTATTGGTCAGCCTACAGAACTCAGAGTAGCGTAAAACATACGTAGTCCTCACAAAATATTATTGCAATAAATAACATTCGTTTATCCTATCAGAAATAAGGCAAGTAGGTTTTCATACGGCTTACAGAGTGCTGTTCGATACACAAATCTTGATCGAAATGACTCAGCTTCATGGAGCGAAAATACTTGTTTATTAAGGTACTTTGATGAATATCTTCGGTGGTGTAGTTAACATTTTCGTAGAGTATTCTCTATTTTATATCAAGTTTTTCTCATTGAGATACTATGCCACAAATTTTCAACTCATCAACTTAGTTTCATTTCAGTTTATGCTACTTCATTGTTTTTTTACCAACTTTCAGAATGGTTAGGGTACTAAGGATATTGATTCTTTTGTCGCGGTGGTTTTAAAAGCTACTGTTATTTTATCACATCTGATGGTACCAGAAAAACATGTTCAAAACGTATAGATGTTTTACTCAAATTTCAACGGGCGTGACTCCCAAAATTTATAACTACTCTCTGAAATTTATGTCCTAAGATATTATTACAATACCGGCATCATTTTTGTGAAATCTTTGGAGTAATTCATATTTTTTAATGGGCAGTGCATGTGAAACTAAGTCAGCTGGTAACTCATAATGAGGGATGAACATAATAAAAAATATTTTGACTTCAAGCAAGTTGTTATGACGTTGAGATGGCGACAGCCCTTACACTACAAATATCTTTGTGAAAACTAATAACAATTATAATAATAAAAAGCGGCGGACAACCAGCAAATGCTGTTCTTCCATGTCAACCAGGACTGCATGCAAACAATATTAAAAAAAGGACATATTTAATCACAGTATTACCAATAAAAGAAAAAGAAAAAGTACTTAGCATAAAACCAATTGAAGCGACTGATCCTCAAAAACAATTAATCCACGACGTGCTTCATAACTTACTAGTGTTACATTGTATGAACGTAAATCCCCCTAACTAAATCCTAGCATCCCTTAGCTATCATTTCGTTGCAATTCGCAATCCTCTAAACTTCCTTTTAAAGTGAACTGAAACCTTTTATCGGCGCACATTCGCTCTACACAGAAACGCCGAGAAAAAAGCGAGCAGCAGATAGAAAAGGCTTTTATTGATTTCACTAGCACGTAACTGACTTGACGCTTAGACGGTGGTCTTGTTTCTGGACGTGCAACGGCATTGGTTGCGCTCTAAGGTGAGGAAAAGACCGAAATGGCCGCTTCATCGTCTGCTGCTACATCGTGGTGGGGGGAAAAAGGAAAAGAAAACGTGGAAAGAACGACGGCGAATCGTACGCGGCCGGTTTCTTCATTTTTTTTCACTGTCCCATTGGATAGTCGTTAACGACCTATACGGACGGATTCATTAAGATAAGAAATGTAAATGGACGGTTCATGTGAAACTAAGGGAGTAGGTAACTTATAATTTATCGATCAAACGAACTTACCTGAAGTTCGATCGTAATTATATGAGGGTCCAGTCCGAAAATATTACATAATTGTGTAGTAGTGGCTTTCCATACTTTTTATCACGAGGTTCAAAGCAAAGGAAAAAATGCGCCCGTCCGGTCCTGACTGCCGTTCACCTTGATGATCTAGTGGCGCACCGTCCTATTCGCTTCATTCTTCAAAGTATCCAGATGTATTACCTGCAACTCTCAGGGGCGGGTAGGGGTAGGGTTTGTAATATTTTCGGACTGGACCCTCATATAATTACGATCGAACTTCAGGTAAGTTCGTTTGATCGATAAATTATATTTCGGGATCCAGTCCTCAATATTACATAATTGTGTAGCTGTTTAAAGGAAGTTGCAGTAAGACAGGTGGAAGAAACTTTTATTTTAAGAAAAACGAAAAAGTTGATACAAACGTTAAACAACTTCAAATAACCGTAAGTATATCCTCTATGTTTCTGATGATAATAGATACAAGACAGATGTTAAATAATTGTCTTTCTCTACTAGAGGTCTATTATAAAACCTTGCAAAGGTTTGAGAGTCCTGGCTCCAACCAGCTGATCTGCGTATTGCATCTATATGCACCCCTTGTCTTAGCGCACATGAAGTGGAAGCGTGCCTTGAGGAATGGGGTTTGAACATATTTGTGTCAATTCCTGCCTTTACCATTATATTTTTTACCCAGCGACTCAAGGTTTGCTTAGTAGCTGGGCCATGTGGTTTATTGAAGGTGAGAAATAGCTTATCACAATCGGCAGGGCGGAGTGGTTTAGTTAGTTCCAGGCACTGATGTAGGCAAGAAGCAACACACAAGTTAGCACATTCATGAAAATATGGCAATGACAACTTAGGTTGAAGTGTTTTAGGCCCTGAAGTTTCCACAAAATCGGGGATTTGGATGTCTGCCCCTGAGGTAGAAAATTTAATATTAGGACATCTAATAAGAGCAACAGTCTGGATTCCCTGTCCGGTAGCTAACACTAAGAGAGCAACTAATTTACAGGATACGGATCTTAGATCTTTATCGGGCGGTTTATTTAAAAACTTAAGTACATCTTGAGGATTCCACGTAAAATTATATCTAGGCCTAGGCGGTCTAGTTCGAAAAATTCCTTTCATAAATCGTTTTACCTCTGTATTTGTCCCTAAATCGCGAGAAGTGATAAGGGAAAGAGCCGCCCTATGGGAATTGAAGGAACTATAAGTATTATTTGATGTATTCATAACCTGCTGTCGGAATGAAATGATATTGGGTACGTCGTATTTAAAAGGGGATATGTCCCTCAGTTGACAAAATTCCCACCAAAGTCTTAGGCTACAGTTGTATTGAGAAATCGTATTGTCACTCAAGGAGTTCCGCAGGAATCCCTTTTCGTTGAAAAGCTTGCCTGACAATCTGGTCGCCACCAGGATAAGGTTTTCCGATAATGGATGTTTCTTTTGGCTAAAAGGGCAAAGCAGGAGATTACTTGAGGGTCCAAAGTAAATTGGATTTCCTATAATTAATTATATAAATAATGGGTACGATGGCTGGTTCTTCCAAAGAGGAACCACCAAGATACCTGATGCTGCGTCACTGATAATTTTCTGTAAGGTTCTCAGAACCATTGAAAAGGGTGGGAACGCGTAAAAGTTCAAGTATTTCCAAGAGACAGTGAAAGCATCAATTTCTTCCGAGCTAGGATCTCTTAACCAAGACATGTATCTATCACATTTGTGATTAGCTATGGACGCGAACAAATCGATATCAGGGATCCCAAAAGTTTGAGCTATTGCGTCAAAGGCATGTTGGTTAAGATACCACTCTGTCTCGGTATGCAAAACGCGAGACGCACGGTCTGCTTGCCAGTTCTCTGATGAAGGAATGTAGGAAGCAAATATCCATAAATTTTTTGATTCGCACCACTTCCAGATGGTTCTTGTCAATTCATTTAATTGCGGGTGCTGCACGCTGCCCATTTTATTGACATAAGCTAGTGCCGTAGAATTGTCCGTTCGAATAAGAACGTTGCAATTTGATAAATCTCTGGCAAAACATTTTAGGCCAAAGTATATAGCTCTTAGTGCCAAAATGTTTATGTGAATATTTGATTCGTGTTCCGTCCATCGACCATAGCTACTTTCGCCTTGGCAAAAGGCGCCCCAACCTGACAAACTAGCATCTGTATAGATCTCTCGGTGAAAATGATCTCGTTTAAGATCATTTTTAGCAGTATTGATATGGTGTTCCCACCAATAAAGTTCTTCAATTATCGTCTGGTTAATGCACATAGTTGCATTGTAATTTTGGGAGTGTTGGCACAAAGCAAGGAACTTTTCCTTTTCTAATATTTTGGTATACAACCATCCGTACTTCACTGCTGGGCAAGCGGATGTAAGCAACCCGAGAAACTGGGCTAACTTTACAATTTTACAAGAAGAGTGCGTTTTTTTAAAAAACGTTATCCAATTTGAGATTTTTGACGTTTTATTGGTGGTAATTCTATGGTCATTTCGATAGAATTAAAAATGAACCCAAAAAATTTAAATTCCGTAGAAGGTGAGAGGACACTCTTTTGCTAATTGATAACAAATCCCAGAGAAATTAGAACAGAAGCAACCAAACGAATGTTTCTAGAACACTCGTCACGTGTTGGTCCCAAAACCAAAAAGTCATCCAGATAAATTACGCAGGGTACGCCCCTGGCTCTCACGTGGTTGACGATTGGTTTCATTAGTAAACTCATATAAAACATCCTTGAAAGAAAATCGTAAATATTTTCTGTGGTCACGATGAACTGCTAGCATATAATAGGCGTCTTTCAAGTCTAGCGTGGCTCCATAGTTGCCACGATGCACTAACTTACTTGCTGTTCGGGCGTCTTCCAGCTGAAAATGCGGAGCGTAGATAAATTCGTTTAATCGCTCTAAGTTTAAAATAAAGCGTTTTCCACAGTTAGGCTTGTCGGTTTAAAAATGGGAGAAACAAACTGCCCAGTTACATTACCGTGACACTTTTCTATAGCCCCAGAATTTAGTAACCTACTAATTTCGGAACCGATTAATTGGTTTTCATCATATGAATGATTAGCGTTATTTGGGATTTGTGGCTGAATAGGTGTTTTAACAAATGGTAATTTATATCCTGAGATCCAACCCAAAACAATACGATTGTCAGTAAGGGTTAACCATTTCTGATAAAAAGAATTCAAGCGACCTGCATGGTTGCTTACCAATTCTAATGTCGTCTCCTCTTCTCTTGTGGTTTGTTCCAATAGGTGTTTTTGTGAAATCTGGATGAGGGGCCCTTCTCGTGACTCACTACCCCAATCGGTGAGTCGGGGGGCGAGAGTTCAAAGACCCTGATGATCTTGAGGTTTCTGTATAGACAGCTCGGGTTTGTCCCCCTCCTCCTTTTTGTGCCCTTCTGGGAGCGAGTGCTGGTTTAGAAGCGCCCACTTTATTCTGATAAGTCGGGAGTTTCAGATCCTTACTCACATTTAGAAGAGATTTTGCTGTGTCTAATTTCTGAGTTAAATTAGAACCAAAAAGAAATTCTCCGGGTAGGCAGTCATCTGCCAGTTCTTTAGATATTTTTAGACCAGGAACAAGAAGGTTCTTTCGTGTAACCGACATGCGATGGAAGAGATTCGTTAGAATTCGTCCGCTATCACATAGATTAGTAAGGAAATCGCCCTTGAATTGATCTGGCATATGTTCTAAATCAATGAGAATCGTGGAAATTGATCTACCTAGTGCAGCCAGGCCTTTTCCTAGTTGATTTTGCATCTCGACATAAGATGCGTCCACAGTGATGTTTTGTTTTGACGAGGCAGCCTTTACTTCCGGATTCAATTCGGGAGGTCTAAGGAATGATAGTTTTTCTGATGTTTGGTATGCATTAAAAAGCGTTTGAGCATCAGATTTTTTCAAGCCATTAGTCAAAATAGTTTGCCAGATCGTAGTAAGTTGATCGTGCAGGGAAAAAACAGCGCTTTGGTCTGTATTTACATCTTTTCCCATAAGCTTTAAGATGTCCTCAGGTAAGGTTACATCGTTATGTAAGATCAAAGTGTCGTCTCCGCAATCCATATTTTCGGTATTTGCTTCTGCACGTGGCAACGTTGCATTCACCAGCTGGAGAGATGGAGATAGCTGCTTAGCTGCTCCTCATCTTGAACCGGCAAGGTTCGAGCATGGATCGGTGTCATCGGCGATCGAGATTCTCTCTCTCTCTCCGATTACGACGGGAGGAAGAGTGAGAAGCGCCAGAGCGGGAACGGCTTCTCGATTTCGAAATCGATCGACGCGGCATGCGGCGACGGTACGACACGCTTGGACTGCGTGTGTGTTCTGAGCGACGCCTTTGTCGTGACAAACGACTATGGGTTGAATAAGAAGTTGACGGAGATCTTGAATTGCGACGATTAATTAAGGTCTCTAGTTTCTCCATTCTTTCTAATAAGTAGGTATACGTGTCGCAATCATTATTACCCTTGGCGTTGCTCGGTGAGCGATTTTTCTTCTTATGACTCTTGGATTTACCCATAATAATCCCTGAAAAAACGGGCTGAAATAAAAGTAAATTGTATGATGCTTCTAAGGAGTCCCGTTAAATAGGCCCTGAATCTCCTATGTTAAAGGCGAAAATATTTGAGAATAATTCAAAAAGAATTACCTGGGGTATCAAGTCAGGCGATATCACTCGGTTTTTCGTCTCTGTTTATTAGCTGAGGCAGCGAACGCAATGAACCTTGTCGCACAAGCACGAAAACCACAATGAAGCGAATAGGACGGTGCGCCACTAGATCATCAAGGTGAACGGCAGTCAGGACCGGACGGGCGCATTTTTTCCTTTGCTTTGAACCTCGTGATAAAAAGTATGGAAAGCCACTACTACACAATTATGTAATATTGAGGACTGGATCCCGAAATATAATGGTCTATTTTTTACAGCAAACTTCATGAATTTCACAAAAAACTTTGCGATGCTTCAATACAAGACATTTTCAGTTCGATTTTTTGATTCCGGCGTTGTTAAAAAAATCCATCGAAATGATTTTATATGCTCAAAATTGGCTAAGCTTATAATGGATTATACGAGTAGTTTTTTTTGTAGTGAAATAAGTGACTGTTCGAGGAACTGACATTTCAGAAAGAATTAGAACGCGGTTCTTTTCATAGTTGAGTGGTGCTTGATTGAATTGAATTTCTCTGACCAAATGGTTAAGAACACCTCCCCTTTCTACCGTAGCTTCCAAGCATTGTTGCACTTACCAAAATTGATTCCATTATTCCAAATAAATGAAATATATAATATAAATATAATCCAATCGAGAGATGTGCTTGTGCAGCAATACCATTTGAGATTTTGTGGTCAGCTTTATTGATTCTAATTTTGCAAATGATCAGACTGAGATACTATAGAGAATAGTCTATATTTTGAGATTAACGTAGATTAAACGTTCAGTACAATATCTCCTGCAGGTAATTAGCGACATTGTGAATGTTCAGACATTAGCAACAAGTGTTTCCAAATTGCTTACATCGGTAAAAATTTCGACTTTTAATCACAAAGTTTCTGTCATATACAGGGTGTTCCATCCATGTGTGGACGGAATATTACTCATAAGCAAATCAGTAGGTCAGAGGTAACCAGTCGTAAGTCCATTTTGACCCCATTTTGAGGTATTATAGTAATATTGCGTCAAACTTAAAATAGCAACTAAAACACACTATTTTGTGAACCATCGCCTTATTGATGTTAATATTTTCAATTTTGAAGATGCAATATGTCCATTGAAGCTGTCTTGAAATTTTCGCTTGTTTTATCCATTACTCGAAACTTCGTTTTTTGGATTTATGACTGTTTACCTCTCGGGTACAGAATTACATTTTGGGAAAATCTATTTATGGCATGTTATACATGAAATTTGAGGGCACATTTCTAAAATATTGGCAATTGTACAGGGTGTCCCGAGGGGTGTCCCAATTTTGACCTACATATCAAAGCTATGATTATTTAAATAGAATGGCTCAAATTTTATTGCATATTTGGATAAACCAATTCAAAAGAAGAATATTGATATATATATAACATACTATGGGGTTTTGGTAATTAGCTACTTGGGCAACCCCTCAACCCGCCATTTTGAACTTTGGAGAGCTGAACTTAGTATTAAAAAAGCTTACACACCTCAGCTTTTATTTTGTTTGTTACTTTTTTCATTTTCATTTTTGGACATATAGGTTGGTCAAAAACGCGAATTGTACTTTTCCTCAAAAATTTCAAATGTATCACCCTGTATATTTGTGCAGGTTTGGAATCAATTTTTAATAAGCTTTTTTTTGGTATAATGTTTGATTCAGATAAAATCACTAGATTTTGCGTTATTAAGCTTTTAATAGAACAACACACCAAAATTAAGGAAGAGAGTCACATCACCCATGGAAACAAAACACAAACAGTGGGCTAGTTCCATATTGCCACTGAGAGTATATATTTGACGTAAAACTAATAACAATCAGAACAGTATACATCCGCTTCAAGCGTAATAGAGAAAAACAACTATAAGAACAACATAGACAAACAACTATCACTACTCAAGACCTAATCTACAAAAATTGCTCCAAAATATCTCCACTATGTTGAATGCACAGCGGTAGTCTTTGGATAAGTGACCGTTGCACATCCCTCAACTGATTCGCCTCATTGGTGACACTTGGATTGTTTATACATTTTTTACTATATTCCACTGCTCCACTTGATTCAAAACGTTCTCGTGGTGTGGAAAATGTTTCCGGCCTTGGATGTCGAATATTAGGGTACCGTTGCTTATAAATGCAAGATGCTAGGAAACTATTTCTTTGGGCTTCGCCCAAAACGAACACCATATTCACCATTTCTTCTTTAGAAAAATCCATTTTTAGACTCGTTTTTATTATAATGCTAACAAAGCTAATTTTGACAGTTTCTAAGTAATCAACAATTTATTTGTTTCCAAGGATGACGCGATATTTTAGGGAATTAAGTTTTTTTTTATACAAAATTTAAAAATAGCGGACTGAGGGGTTGCCGAAGTGGGGGGTTTTTCTAGACAAAACACCTTATATCTTGTATGTTATATCAATTTTCTTATTTAGAATTGCCTTATCCAAACACGTAATAAAATTTGAGCCATTCCATTTGAAAAATCACAACTTTGATATTGGTTTGTAGGTTGAAATTGGGACAATATTTGGCCAATATTTTAGAAATGTGCCCTCAAATGTCATATATAACATGCCATAAATAGATTCTACCAAAATGATTTCTGTACCCGAGAGGTAAACAGTCATAAATCCAAAAAACGAAGTTACAGGTAAATTGATTTTCCCAAAATGGATTTGTGTATGAGTAATGATCCGTCCACACATGGATGGGCCACCCTATATATACAGGGTGACTTCGAAGTTGAGTCATTTATTTTAACAGTGAGTAGATCTGATCAAAAGAAATGTTTTTTCCTTTAACATTTTTGTGGTGAAATTAAAGTAACAAAGTTATAGCCCTTTAGAAGTTTGAGTACCGCCCTGTCTCAATAATAATATTATGTGCTCGTGTTTGGTAACAACGGATATAATCCGCCTTATCAGTTTATCGCATAGGAAACAAGAAAGCGAAAGAATTTGAAACGCTGATCACGATATTTTTATTCAGTCTGTGTCAGTCGCTAACGCGTGAGTGAATAGTGGTGTCTGTTGCGTGGCTCAAACGAAATAAAAAATGGCACATGTTTATGCGGATCGGTTTCCCAATCGAGTGCAACCAACCCCTCGTTCCTTTGTTAATGTAGTACAACGGACTCGTGAATCAGGTGACTTAAGCCCTCACAGGTGCTCCAAGACCTCACGATCAAATACAGGTCCGCACTGAAATACTTGTCGGGAGGATACTTTATAAAACAAGGTAAACATTTTTTTTAATTTTTTTTTATTTTTACACACATATTTTGGTTTATTTTCCTTCTACAACCATTATCTGAAAATTAATGACTCAACTTCAAAGTATATATATATATATACAGGGTGACTTGAGTCATTTATTTTAACAGTGAGTAGATCTGATCAAAAGAAATGTTTTTTCCTTTAACATTTTTGTGGTAAAATTGAAGTAACAAAGTTATAGCCCTTTAGAAGTTTGAGTACCGCCCTGTCTCAATAATAATATGTGCTCGTGTTTGGCAACAACGGATATAATCCGCCTTATCCGTTCATCGCATCGGAAACAAAAAAGCGAAAGAATTTGAAACGCTTATCACGATGTTTTATTCATTTATTTTATTCAGTTGTATTCATTCGATGTGTCAGTCGGTAACGCGTAAGTGGTGTTTCTGCGTGGCTCAAACGAAATAAAAAATGGCACATGTTTACGAAAATGCTGAACTTGTGGACATGATTCTTATTTTACAAAATGCTGCTACGGCAACACGGATTTATGCGGATCGGTTTCCCAATCGAGTGCAACCAACCCCTAGTGCCTTTGTTAATGTAGTACAAAGGGCTCGTGAATCAGGTGACTTAAGTGCACGTTTACATCAAACGCGCTTCGCTTGGAGCTGTGCGCTTTGCTTTACAGCCCAGTAGGAAGCGAGAGGAACGACAACACAGCTTTAAATGAATGTGTTCAGACCGCGCGCATGGCGCTACGCGCTGTGCCTTACGTTATACTATGCGGAGCGGTGGAAAACGCGATGTGTTGGTTTTGCGTTGCGTTTTGCCTCGCTTGTTCAGACAACTCCGAGGGTTATCTGCATAAACACAATGGAAGAAGAAATTATCACCGCCGTTTTTAAACGAGAGGCAATATGGAATCCGAAGCATGCGTTGCATAAAAATGTATACGCGTTACAAAAAATGTGGAAAGAAATAGGAGACGAAGTTGGAAAAGATGGTGAGTTCATATTATGTTTTAACTAGGGATGGATATAATATATCAACTTTTAGAATGTGTCGATGTCTTCTTTTTGTTGTCCGTATTTTTGCATCGGTTTTGGTTTCCATGTATAGGGGCGTATTCGTGTTTTTATTCTATGTATAAGTGGTTTGCGATA